CTTTCTCTTACGGTGCTGGTTTAGGCGATTCAAATTGTGGCAATAATCGTTTATTTGTTGAGTTGTGGGTTTCAGATCTTCTTTACAGGGATTATCAGGGTGACCAGAAGTTTACTCTCACTACATACACCGCAAATGGGGTGGTTCGTACTACTTTGCCTTTCTGTATATATCAGCTACTTTTCATTGTTTTTCTCCGTGGTCGTCGATAGCTATTCACATCGTAATGTGCTGTATACAGGAGAAATATTGAGTCACTCATTCTTGGATTGATAAAAAGTGATTCTGCTCTGTCTAACTCGAATTTTTATGCTCTCTGTTGAAAATAACATATGAATTCATTTATTTTTATAGTTGATGACTGATTTGTAGTGTGCTTGTGTTTGTTTTCCTCTCACTCTTTATTTTATTTCTGCTATTCATATATGGTATTACGAACTTGAAGCCAATATATAAGTCATGGAGCCTTTGCTTTCATCAGGTTCTTTACTGTTTATTTACTTGGGCACTGTTAAATATCATCTCCATTTGGGCACTGTTAAATATCATCTCCATTTGTATTGCGATTCTAACGCATGTTCTGGAAGTTATATAGCTGAATATTGGTATGCTAGTTCATCATGCTTTCAACCTCAACCACATTCATTGGTTTTGTTAGGGGACATTTAAATTGTCATTCTACATCTATCCCTGAAACATATTGAGCTTATAGGATGATACAGGGGTCTAAGCTTTTTTGAATAATGATTTTCTTTTACTACTTCATCACTGGGTAGTATTTATCATGTTCAGTATTTGTTATCATATTTCATTGTTTGACAATTATTCTGTTGTTGCTGATTCTTTACTATGTTTCTGATTCCATAGGCCATCACTTCATCTGGGTCCAAGAAGGGCGAACTTTTTCTTGCTGATGTTAACACCCAGCTGAAGAACAAGAACATGACAACTGATGTGAAAGTGGACACTAACTCCAACGTAAGTCATCTTACGTTGCTGTATTATATAAGTAGCGTAATATAAAAACTGCTAGTTGCAATAATTGTCTTCCTTAGATAAGCAATTTATTGAGAACGTTTGGTATCTGAAATTACTTGATACCTTTGTGGCATCTATAGTATATACAGATGGTTGCTTGCGTGTTCCTTTCCTTAATGTTCATTAATTAATTAAAAATTGTACCAGAGGGGATGGCAACGGTTACTGCCATTGGGTCTTACTGATCGTCTTGATCACATTAGAGTGCCCTTTATACTTAGCCTGACTGACTAAAATGATTAATGAGATTGATTATTTTTGTTGTTGTTCCACTTAACTGATGAATTTGGTGTCTAAAATATTACAATATTTACACTCTCCTTTTTCTCTTTGCTTTTATGCATCAGTTTTATCCTGTCTGTTTTCAATTTTTGTCTTTATATTTACATTTGGTCATCTTCCTTATTTGGGACCATTAAGTTTAAACAATCTTGAATCTAGTATATCTGCATGAATACTTTATATATGGTGGTTCATTTTTTGATGCTGAAAGAGAAGATACAACAACAACAACAACAATATAGCATTTTAGTCCCAAGCAAGTTGGGGTAGACTAGAGATGAAACTCAAGAGAACCAATGGTAAGAGAAACACAAAAATGGCTCAAAAACACAAGGAAGAGATTAGAGCAAAAGAAAGAGGAGCAAAAGTCACGGTTCTGGCACGTTGATTGCTAGCCTCCAAGCGCTCCTATCCACCTGGAGATATGTCAATCTTTAAGGTGTCTCTTAACCGACTCTTCCCAAGTGAGTTTAGGCCGATCTCTACCTCTCTTTACATCATCGACCCGTTGTAGAACTCCCTTACGCACCGGTGCATCAGGAGGCCTCCGTTGGACATGTCCGAACCACCTCAGCCGATGTTGAACCAATTTCTCCTCAATTGGAGCCACCCCGACCCTATCTTGAATATCCTCATTCCGAATTCTATCTCTTCTTGTGTGCCCGCAAAATCAACGCAACATACGCATCTCTGCTACACTTTGTTGTTGGACATGTTGCCTTTTTGTAGGCCAACATTCAGCACCGTATAGCATTGCCGGGCGAATCGCCGTCCTATAGAACTTACCTTTTAGCCTTTGTGGCACCCTCTTATCACAGAGAACGCCCGAAGCTTGACGCCATTTCAACCAACCGACTGCAATTCTATGCCTAACATCTTCATCAATGTCGCCATCCTTTTGTAGCATCGATCCTAAATACCGAAAAGTCTCCTTCTTGGCCACCATTTGTCCGTCAAGGCTAACGTCACCATCATCATGTGTAGCCATGCTGAAAACGCACGTCATGTACTCGGTCTTCGTCCTACTAAGTCTGAAACTTTTCGACTCTAACGTGTCCTTCCACAGCTCTAACTTCCTATTTACCCATGCCCTACTTTCGTCAACTAGCACAACGTCATCAGCAAAGAGCATACACCAAGGGATATCACCTTGTATGTCCCTTGTGGCCTCATCCATCACCAAAGCAAATAAATAAGGGCTCAATGTTGACCCCTGGTGTAGTCCTATTTTAATTGGGAAGTCGTTGGTATCGCCCCCACATGTTCGGACACACGTCATCGCATCCTTGTACATATCCTTGATGAGGGTAATGTACTTAGATGGGATTTTGTGTTTTTTTAAGGCCCACCACATGACAGTCCTCGGTACTCTGTCATATGCCTTTTCAAGGTCGATAAAGACCATGTGCAAGTCCTTCTTTTGGTCCCTATATCTCTCTATCAACTGTCGTATTAGGAAAATCGCCACCATGGTCGATCTTCCAGGCATAAACCCAAATTGGTTTTGGGTCACACTTGTCACTCGTCATAGGCGATGCTCGATAACCCTCTTCCAGAGCTTCATCGTATGACTCATCAACTTAATCCCTCGGTAGTTACTAGATCTTTGAACATCTCCCTTGTTCTTGAAGATCGGTACTAAAGTACTGAAAGAGAAGAAGATAATAATAATAATAATAATAATAATAATAANTCTGAGATTATATGAGTCTGATTGTTTAGGTTTACACGACCATTACTGTTGACGAGCCTGCCCCTGGAGTGAAGGCTATCTTTAGCTTTGTTGCTCCCGACCAGAGGTCGGGCAAGGTAACTTTATTCTTCCCTGTTGCCTATGTTTCTGTATCATCATGTTCTTTAATTTTATGTGCTCAGATATTCACCAAGTCTAGTGGGATAATAGAACAACATGCTGTGTTTCTGGTAAATGGTTACAGGTGGAGCTTCAGTATCTGCATGAGTATGCTGGTATAAGCACCAGCCTCGGGCTGACTGCAAAGCCCATTGTCAACTTTTCTGGAGTTGCTGGTAATCAGAATGCAGCTTTTGGGACCGATATCTCATTTGACACAGCCACCGGGAATTTTACCAAATACAATGCTGGAATCAGTTTTACCAATGCCGACCTAATTGCATCCTTGACACTGTAAGTACATTTTAAGTTTTTGAAGGGGAAAATGAAAAAGAAAAACATTGTCAAGAAGCTCATGGTGGATGAATTATTTTACACTCACATAGAGAATGAGTTATTTACAGTACCTTCTCATGGAGTACTGCTTGTGTTTAATGTTGGTCGTTATCTACTGAAAGTAGCAAACGTTTTTGGTTTCGATTTCGTTTCTAGGTTCTTGGAAGCCAGGTTACACTTATTTGTTAAACGAATCGTGTAGTGTCTTAGTTGTGGAGGGCTGGCTATGTTTGCATTACTGATCAGTAAAGGGAGAAAGTGTAATTTTCTTGTACTTATACTACTAGTGAAGTGTCAAACGTTCGTTGAGAGTGTTACTTGAAAATAAACCTGTTCTCTTTGATTTGTTGACCGTGTTTAAATGAAAGTAATCAATCCTTTTTGATTCTATGTTTGGTGAGTAAAAGGGAGAAAGTCTGATTTGCTTGTATGTATATTACTAGTGAATTTAGTGCCAAACATTGGTTACAAGCACCAAAATACACTTTCTTTGATTTATTGAGTCAGTTTAAGTGATAAATACATCAATTCACTTTGATTTTTCCTTCTTCTAAATTTCCAGTAATATATCTTACAGTTTTGCCTCATTGCAAAACGATCCGGTTATGCATCAACTTTACAAATGTACAAACTACTTAGAGACTCCAATTAGGTTTGTATTTGCTTGACTAGTACAGGTGTACTAACTACTAAGATTTCGTCTAGATTTGTATTTGCTTTACAAGTACCTCTTTATATATGAGCATTTCATAACGTTGAAACAGCTATCATAGCGTATTTGCAATTTTTGAAGACCTTTGGTTTGTTTATTTTTAGCTCAAACCTCAAGAATATCTTTTGTAATAAATTTATGTTCTCTTTCTCTTTCCTCCTTTTTGTGGCAGGAATGACAAGGGCGAAACCGTAAACGCATCCTACTTCCACACGGTGAGCCCATTGTCCAACACAGCAGTTGGTGCGGAGTTCACCCACAGCTTTGCTACCAATGAAAACACCCTCACCATTGGGACCCAGCACATGCTCGACCCCCTCACCTCAGTCAAAGCTCGTGTTGACAACTATGGGAAAGCGAGTGCTCTCATACAGCACGAGTGGCGCCCCAAGTCTCTGGTCACTATTTCGGGCGAGGTGGACACCAGGGCCATTGAGAAAAGTGCCAAGATTGGACTTGCTGTCGCAATTAAGCCGTAAGGTCAACGAGAAAAAAATTATCACGTAAAAGGTTTAACATTTATTTTTTCTTTCTGTTTGTTTCTTTGAGACTGAGGAGAAAGAAATAAAGACGATCCTGTTCATTCTATGGGGATGCCTGGATAATCATACTGGAATCTGACTTGTGGTGTCGAATTTCTTGAATGTGGATGGCTTTGGGGCTAGGGACTTGAGCTGATTTTTGTTTTTAAACTCGGATCAGGGGTTTGTTCGGTTGCTCTAAGTATCTCTGTCCTGTTTTGGATGTCTGATTGGGATCTTATTGTTGCTTTTTGATGGTTACCCCGTAGAATCGATATTCAGTCCTTTAAATTTGAGGGATTGACATAATTGGTTTTATTAGTGTCATTAATGGTAATCGGTTTTTCTATGGAGCCATTCAATTGTTTTTTCATACGGAGTCAGGCTATGCTATGTGGCTATTATGTGGCATAAACATGTGCATTAAAATACACCACATGTGTTTATTTTTATTTTAACATAGATAAAAAAAACAAAAATAAAATGGAAAAGTAAAGAAAAAAAAATAGTTAATCTTGAACAGATAATAGATTTGCTTTCATATGGTAGGCTGTTCTTCTTCTCATACAATGGTAGGCTGTTCTTCTTCTCATACAATTCGCCGCCGTTCACGCCCAATTTGCTTTTTCATCCTCAACCTCTCGTTCTCCCACAATAGCTCTGTCGTGCCAACGCCTAATTTTCGCCTGGTCTCCGATGAATTGGAGGAGGAGATGCCTACTCTTCACCGGAATCAGATGGTGACACCGCCTTCAACGGAGTTGCCGCCAACGGCGGCGAAGAAGTCGTCGGTGCCGCCGCGGCGGACAAAGGCGCGGTGACCTTGCGGCGCTGGATGTCGCAGAGGAGCTTCTTCTTGCCTCTCTGGAAGCACTCATTCGAGAACTCCCATCAATTGGGCATAAATTTTTCTATTTTCCTAGAAATTTACCAAAATTGAAACATGAAAACCAGAATCCTCTTCATAATCAAATAAAAGCTGAGAAGATGATTTGAAGATTTTGAATCAATTGTACGCACGTGTAAGTGTTGAGCTGGCGAACGAAGTTGGAGAAATTATTGTGCTTGAAGTATTTGGGGAGCAAATTGCGGGCGAACGCCGTTGGGTTCCACGATTCATCAGGCTTAACAGGGATTTTTATTTATGCCACGTAAGAGCCACGTAGGCAAATGACTCCGTATAAAAAACAATCGGATGACTTCATAGAAAAACCGATCAAATACGATTGGTTTGTTAGAATAAACTTTTTAAAAAAGATAGATCTTATCTCTT